GGGGCTGCTCTCCCAGGAAAGGCACACGCAAGTCCCATTGCAGCCAGTATCATTCCTTGGATGTAGGGAGGACCTTGCCACAATAGTGATGCTGCAATTGAACAGTCTCCCTCCAGATCTCCCGGCGCAAAGCGTCTCTCCTTCCTAGCATATCCTGGGCAGAACCAGGATTGTCGAGCTGGGCCAGCGCTTCCATGGCCGTAGGCAACTGTGGCTCTTCTCCTATGTCCGCAGCAAACTTGGTCCCGGTGGTAGTTTGAATGTCTCCTTAGGCAAGGAAGAGCATCCCACCGCTTGCCACCAATGTGATGGACCCCCGTACTCAGGATGAGTATGTCCGCCGCTGTCTTCTTCCTTGCTGAGGAGATATTGCAACCCGCTGATCTGTAGCTCCCAGTTTCCCCAGTCACTGGTTGGGACTGAGTGTAGGGTAAACCAACTCTGCTTTATTGAGCAACTGCACAAACTTTTATACAGCAAGTGATGACATCAGAATATAATCCCATCACATCCACCCTCCCCGACAATCGGTCTGCTCAACACCACAGGTGTCCACCTGCTAACAAACTCCAGACAGCCATAGCAAGAGCCTGGCCAGAATGTCATTGTTCTGAGCTCCCTCAGAGTACAATGGGAGATAACGAGGGATGGTGCTGATAGTCTTTCCATAACCAGGTCACACAGCATAACGCACTCAAACATAACTCAACACCAATACACATTTAACTTATAAACTCATCACCATGTCGTCACACATACATACAGAATTTTGTATCAGTAGTAAAGGTATACAACAGGATATATACAAAGCCATACATAACATAGATGTATCACTTGGGACAACGATAGAATGTGATAGGTTCCAGTAAGATGAGTGTAGGAAATGTAGGAAACAGGTTGTGTGGCACTTCGTGGGTGTCTCAGGGAGTGAGAATGACAATCGCAGGTGAGCATATTCAGAGAAAGCTACCAAGTCCAGTGGGTAAGGGAAGTCAGAGGGTTCAACCCACGAGTGAAGAGACATGTAGAAGGCCAAGGTACAAGAGGCTGTGGGGGGGGGGGGGGGGGGTGTTCAGGAGACTATAGAAAGAGGAACCAAGTTTCTGGCTTCTAGAAGTATGCTCCATAGGGCAAACCTTATCACGGGTACAGAGCGCATCCACAAGTGATACCAATAAGGACAAACAACATAGAAAGAGAGGACCACAGGGGTTGGGTGTCGGAGGTGAAATAATTGCCTATCCAGGGTTGCAGATTGCTTCAAATTTAGGCATGGAATTGTCAAGTTGTGCTGTGCATTTTTCGTGATATAGTATCCAGTGGATGTGGTTTATTACGTTAGGGACCCTGAGGGATGAAGTCTGCCAATTTTTCGCAATCTCTCTCTTAGTGGAGGGTAAAACAAAGAGAGCGAGCTTGAAGGCCTTGTGGGGGAGTTCAGCAGAGTTGTAATTTAGAAGGGCAAAGTGTGGGTCTTTAGGTATCGTTGTGGACAGGACTGTGGAGAGAAGGCTAAAGATGTCATCCCAAAATTTAGAGACCAAAGGGCAGTGCCGCCATATGTGGTGTGATATTTAGGGAATGTTGCCCAAATGGCGAGCAATCAAAGATCAGTCTTGAAGCCGTTTTAAACATAATCCGAACAGTCTTTTATTGCTTCCAGAGCAGAAACATAACTTCAGCAATAATACACAGTCCTCTTGTAATCCAGCAAACATAATACATAGTCTCACCGACTCCAGGTTGTTACACATACTCCATGTGTGAACGGCTTTCTCAGCCTCCTCGGCTGTCTTCCTGTGCCTCTGGCACACACAGCCACCTGGCTCCCCTCTGCCTTCTGGGGGGAGTCCTACTGACTCCTGAACACTTCTGTTCCTCTTCCCAGCTGGAGCCCAGAACACTAGCCAGCACACTTCCCATAAGTATCATTAGATACCAAGCTTCCGACTACCTGGTTCAGTCTATTGGCTAGCACTTTAGCAAGTAATTTAACATCCACATTTAGCAGGGAGAGCGGCCTGAAATTAGATGGGTTGGAATGGTCTCAGTTGGGTTTTGGAATCATGCAGATTAAGGCGGTGAGCGAATCTTGACCTAGCGATTCCCCACCGCGAAGACAGTTGAAGGAGTCCGTCAAGAGTGGGTTTAGGAGGTCCTTGAATTCCCTGTAATATGCTGCCGTGAAACCATCAGGACCTGGATGTTTGGCCTCGAGCCAGGGAACCAATCGCTAAGTGGACTTTCTGCTCTGGGATAGATTCCTCGAATGATTCAGCCTGAGAGGCGGGGGAGATCAAGATCTGCAAAGAACTGATCTTCTGTGGTGGTGGAGAAGTGGCCTTGGGAGGTATAAAGGGAGGAAAGTGCTGATGGAAAGCATTGAGAACTTTAACTGGGTTGACCTGTGGGATCCCGAGGGGGTACACAATTTTATGGGTTTGAAAGTGGGGTCGAGCAACCTGAGCTTGGTGGCCAATAAAGCGTCTGCTTTGTTGCCTTCAAGATAGTAATTATTGGCGGTGCTGTGAAGTTGTTTGGCCACGTGATCCATTAAAAGTAGATTGAGGGGGGTGTGGCCTGGACATGGTGCCGAGCAGCAGCTAATTCATAGAGCTCTGCAGCCCCAGGGTGTATCGACCAGTAGATCTACCTCTATCCCACCACATCACCTCATGAAGCGATCCGGAAAATCCCCGAAGACACCCCGGGCCCCTGTACGCCAGCAGAAGCAATCCCGAATGGAGGCATATGTATCGCCCTGGGACTCGAGGCCTAAACCGCGAGAGCGGCCAGGGACACCCGTGTACTCCACGCTGACGAGACCTACGCAGGCCTTCCCACGTCATGATGCCTCTGGCTTCTCGGACGAGGCGATGCTCCCGCTCCAGCCGGCATCCCCAGCCTTCTCATCACCGGAGTCTGGATCGGAAGGGCCCTCACCGCGGGCGCAGCCATCCACCCCCCCATTGGGCTGCTTGGGCCTAGGCGTAGACCCGGAGCTCCGGTCCCTCCTGGCGGCTCTCCCGACTCGTGCCGACATGCAGGGCATGATAGACCAGCTGGCGGTCTCACTCAGAGCTGATCTGGCGCAGGTAAGAGCAGGGGTAGACAGGCATGAGAGGAGACTAGAGACTTTGGAGGATGCAGACCGGTCTCTGGAGTGCAAGGTGACCCGGCTGGAAGCCTCCATAGCACGCCAACAGACGCATATGACCCAAATGCAATTGCGGCTGGAAGATACAGAAAACCGCAGCAGACGCAACAACCTGTGGCTGCCGGGTATC